GATACGCCGATGTGGCATGCAACGCCGCTACCGCAGCGATCAAGGCCTGTGGTGCCCCCAGACGTCGCAAGGCAGTGTCCAGGGCTTGTCTGTTGACTCTATCAAACGCCTGCTTCAAATCCAGGCTTAGGATCGCACCTCCAACGCATATATCGCTATGTCCCCCGTGGCCTCTCTCTCTTTCATGGCAAACCTGCCTGGCGTGAAAGTGTTAAGTTTCTCCCGACACAGCCCGCACCAGGCATGGACCCGCGCTAACGCATCGTGCAGGTCGCGCCCCGGTTGGTAGGCGAACTGCGGCACCCATTCCAGTTGGGGCCGAATATGGTCATAAAGACGTTCTTTGATGAGCGCCGCTAACACCTTGGCCTCCGGATACATCAGCCCTATGGGTCTCAGGGCAGCAGGCTGCGAGGGCGCCTTGCCTGGTTTCGGAAGCCACGTGATCCACGCGTCCGTCCAGCGCTCGGGTAGGGAGTCGTCGGCTGTCGCGCTCAACAGATAGGCTTGTCTTAAGGTGGGGGGCGATGGCCGCCGCCCCAATACGCCGAGCAGCGGCCGGGGCAACGTGTTTCGGCACCGCTTTGCCTATTTTGGTGGCCTGAAGCTGTCGTTCAACGTCCTGTAAGGGGAAGTCCAGCGGAAGCTTGACCCCGGCTCTCGACGGTTGCGACTGTTGTGGGGCAAACAGCGCACGGCTGTGACTAACCAGGGCATCATTTTCTTCCTTGTGGGTGAGGAGCCTGCCTTCCTTATCTTTCAGAAGAACCCTATTGCGCGGAGCCCAGGGCGCAAGCTGCTTCACTACTTGATAGACCGACCTCTGGTCGCCTCGACCAGCAGCAGCTTCGGCTTGCTGTAGAAGACCCCGGATCTCCAACTTCTTCCTCTCCTTGCATTGTCTTTTCGCCTTTTTTGCCCCCAGGTGATACCTGACCGTCGCAAACCAAGCTTGAAAAAGTCTACCGGTCCGTTGCACCTGGACGGTCATGGTGTACCTGGCCGCTCTGCGAAGCTGCCACAGGTGTTGAATGATCGGCCACGTGTTGAGTGCCACTAGTCCGTGGGTTTCGACAAAGATCCCAAGAGAGTGTGGGTCCAGCGCGTCCGGACCAACGTGAAAAGGGGTATTGCAAGTGGCACGGCCTACATGCGGTACTTGGGGCCGAAGTTCGGCTTGGAAATCCCCAGCAACAATAAGTGTTGCTCTCATCGGTATTCCGCTAACGGAGCTGCCAAGCTTGTTCAGAAGTCTCTGTCTTTTATCCCGCAGCACGTCAGGGTTGCAGTTGAAATTGTGGGGGTGTTGATAGCAGTTGTAGATCTCCGCCCTCCCTTGCTCAGTGGTCAGCTGAACCCGGAGGACCCTGCCGGGGACGATTTCTTCGTGACGAACGCGATCAGGGCTGAACCTGGGGTTGAGGAGTGTGAGGACTCCATCGGCACGGGCAGTGGAGCCCGAGTGGACGGCAGTCCACCCTTGCGTGCGAAACTCCGAGCTGGTGGACCAGTGCGTCTCCTGCATGGAGCAGGATGACGTCGTGTTTGTGCGCTGCCGTGAGCAAATACTCCCGTAGTTCCTGCCACAAAAGGGTGGAGAGAGATCCCACATTGAGGGAGATTATGTTGAGCCTCTGTCTGTAGTTCGCTCCGCCTCTGTGGTGTCGTTGTGGGGTGTGTTTGCCGTGGCCACGTTGTACCTGGCTCGTGAGGATGTGCTGGAGTTGTTGTGCCGTGAAGGTTCTGCCTTTGTAAGTGGTGGCGCCCTCTTGCCTTGCACGTGCCGCCGCCCTTCTGAAGGCGCGCTTTGCCCCAGGAGGGACAGGTTGGGTGTCAGCAGCGGCAGCAAAGCAACAAAGCGCAAAAATGAGAAGACGTGTGCCGAGGCCCAGCGCGCCAGGTGCAGGACCTAGGGCCCTTCCAGGAGCCCGCGCTGCTGCCGATCGACGGGAGGTTGGGGCCGTACTGCGGCTCCCGCTACTCGTGGGGCGTGGTTTCGCTTCCCCTGCCCCTCTTGTGCGTGGGGTATGGAACGTGGTTTCCGTTGTGCTTTCCTGGTAGCTGCGCGGAGAGGGGTCGCGCCACCCGCCTCCTTCCCTCCGTGGGAAGGCCGTGGATTTTTGCCACTAGTAGGTTCACCCCCTGTGGGGGGCCCAGGGGGAACCCTCACCTCACCCAGCCTAAGTCGTTTGTGTGAATTTTGAGTGGCGGCTGGGCCGTCGGACTTGGGACCGACGCGGCTCTGACAGTTGTGCTTTCTATCCCTACTGTTTCGATTCTGGGGTCGTCTACGAAAGATACCGGGGAGTCTGCGCTGTATTTGCCATGGTGGCCCTTGTTGTTTGCGACAAGCGAGCCTAAGGAAACTAAGCAGAAGCGACAGGAGCCCCAATCCAACATCGCAAGCCTCCATGTACTCAAGCCGGTCCTGGTAGTGCGTGCTGGTTGTTGTCCGTCTGGGCCGTGGTACCTGCGAGCTGAGACGGGGTGTCGATTGGGTGTTGGGGCCCTGATTCCTGCCTGCCTTCTGGCCTTTGTGTCAGAGGGGAGTATTGCCTGACACGCCGTGCAGTCCGGCTCCCTCCAAGGGCCGATGCTGAGCTATGCGTGAGTCCGGAGCAGACACCGTTTTCGTCCGCAGGGCAGCGACAGTCTTCTTTCACTCGAAGAAAACAACGACTGCAGCGGAAACCGGCCTTGACGAGCATCTTGGCACAGGCCTTGTTTCGTGGCGGAAGTCTTGTGCGGTTGGGGGCCGTTGTCGTCGATGCGAGAGGGTGCTCTGGAGGTGCATGATGATTCTCTCCGGTCCAACCAAAGTCTTGCTCTGCCGCCGGTGCCGGGCCTTGCTGCTCAGCCTGACGAGATGGGGGATGAAGCCCAGCGCTCGAGGATGAGGCAGCCTCCCCTGGTCTGAACAGACTGCTTGTGCGATCTGAAGATTGCCCGGAAAGATGCGGGGCTCTGCTTGGCCTAGGGGCCGGTCTGGCCGGCTCCCTCGTGGTCTCCTTATCTCGCTGTTTTGTACGAGACCGTTGCTCTGCGACTTCCCGAAACTGGGGTCGCATGGTTGGAGCCTGCCTGGGTGACCCTGTCTGCGAGGACATTCCTGTCGTAGGAGTCCGCAGTGTGCGCAGAATCTGCGGCGGATAGTCATGTCGCTGTGGAACTCGTCGAAGTAGCTGACCGACCGGCGTACCGGGTTCTGCCCTCATGTGTCCAACNNCCGGGGAGGGCTCCAGCCATGCTTCATCTTCCCACCAAGCATTGTCCGGAAGGGGACTCTGCTCCAGGTTCGGAGGAAAATCTTCCGGCGTAGATGCTAACCATGCTTCATCATCCGATCGAGCACGCTCATCTTCCGCGTCTGGGGAGTAGAGCCTAGAAGAGTCCGAGGGCGAGGCCATGGGAGTAGTTACGACCAATCCCCGCACGGTGCTATCTTTGGGGGCCCTAGTAGGTGCAAGGAATGCAGCGGCAAGGCACAGGTGTGTACGCAAAAGCCGGCTCCCTCTCAGGGCCGATGCTGAGCGCGGTCTGTGTTCTATAAGCCCTCCCTGCCTTCTGCCTGCGGCAGCCGCTGTGGCGAGTGCCGATAGCTTGTCCGATGGGTCCTGCAGGAGCAGCATGCAAGGGAAGGGTATAAGGGTTGATGTCACTTCCTCATGTGTCCATGCAGCAGAAACTACTAAAAGCAGGACAGCCATATATGCTCGACGGTGCGATGCGTTTGCTCGAGTCGTGCGGGACGGGGCCGAAGCACGGCCGCCCGGGGTCGAGGCACGGCCGGAAAGGTGAGCCTTCAGCACCCCTTTCAAAACATCTGCCTCAGCAGGGGGCGCCTTACCGTCTGTGGGCAGGACCTCTTCCCCTGTGGCCCTGATGATGACTGCCACGATGGACTCCGGGGGCACCGTCTCATCCGTCAGGTAGTACCCGTTTGCTGACATGTACCATGCGCAGTTGGCAAGGGCCGGGTTGATGCGGAGGATCACGTCGGCCTTCTCCGGGTAGTACTGCTCGCTATCCTTGCAGTCGGGGAGACAGTGCACTTGTGCTCGGTGGGCCTTGCCGGCCACACCACCTGCTCGGAGGCCGTCTTTGGCAATGATTTTGTAAAAATCGTAGTGCGTTGCATGGGTGAGATAGGGGACCTTGTCCTGGTCAACCCTGCAGTGTACCGAGGCATTGTCGACGGCCATCGAATGCCCCTGAACAGCACCTATCAACAGCTCTCCGTCTGGGCCGCCCTCCCAGAGCAGGCGAAATCTTTGCTTCGCGTTGTGATACACCACCGCTATGATTTCTGCTTGGCTGATCCGCTCCTCCGTCATGATGCGGTGGGCCAGCAACTGGCGCAACGGCGCCGCCATGTTCTTCCTGAAGTCCAGGTTGAAATCGCCTTTGTCATGGCGAAGGGAAGCAGAGAGGCGTTTGGAGATCTTGAAGTCGCGATAGTATTTCAGGGGCCGGGGAGGCGGCTGCCCAAAGTCGAACGGCACATAGACCTGGCTCAAGACCGAGCTGGCCACGCTGTCCAGGGTGCTGGCTGGTGTGTCCCCCGCCGGTTCGCGACGTTCACTGGTGTCGGCTGTCTTCTGGGGTGGAGGAGTTTCGGGGACGGTTTCCTCCTCAACTTCGTCGTCTTCCCACTCTTCTTCTTCCTCCCACTCTTCATCCTCCCAATCAGCCTCTTCATCCTCTGTGAACGCGACCTCGACTTCCACCTCCTCTTCTTCCTCTGGATCATCCCTACGGCTCTCGCGTGGGGCCGGTTTGGGGTCCTTACTGCCATCCTTGGCTGGGCTCCGGATGCTGTGGTCTGGGAGCTCTCTGGGGTAGAAGTGCTCCATGAAGGCTCCCACCTCCGGCTCTGTGGTCTTCCAGTCCATGTCCTCGTACCACGCCGTCGGAACTCCATCCATGAGGGACATTAAATCTGTCAACCCCGCCGCTACCTCAGCGTACATCTTCTCGAAGGTGCGGTCTCTAGCACTGGCGATCGCGTGGATCCAGCACTCAACAGCGCGGCCACACGTCGCCGATTGGCCTGTGCCTTCGCTGTTTTTTGGATCATCGCGGGGGTTGGTCCAGGACCACTTTTTATGCTCCCGAGCGGGCTGGGGCTTCTCTCGAGGGGGCCGCTGAGTCGGCTCCTCCCAATCTTCCCTCTGCTGCCAGGGCCGTTCCTGCGGCTTCCCTTTTCCTTCTCTCTCCTTTCCTTTTCCTTTTCCTTTTTCTTTTCCTTTTCCTTTCGTGCCTTTCTCTCCCTGGCCTTTGCCCTTCTCGGCCATGGCACGCTGCCTTTGTGCTACTTCGTTGGCAGTACGTCTTCGCGTACCGTCCTGCCGCCAGCGGCTACGTGGATACTGCCGTGGCACATCTCTCCTCGGCCTCTCTTGATCGTCATCACCGGGTGGTGCCGTGGTGGGGCGCGCTGTCCGTGCAGCCGCCATGCTTGAGTCGGCAACGCTTCGGACAAGGCACTGCTGAGGCTGGCAGTCGGCGTTCTGCTCTGCATGAGTCCCTCTAGACAGAAGGCAGCGATACACCGCCTGACGCTACCACAACCCCTGCAACCGATGTAGTCCTGCGTATGGTGCGGCAGACCAGATTTGTAGTCGTTCGACCTGAGCAGGGTGAAAATCGTGAGGATGGGGAGGGGTATTATGCAGGTGCTTGGTTTCCGGCTGGGTGTCTCTTGCTGTACTCGGAAACCCCGACATCCAAGCTAGCAGACACGTGCTGCGGGGGAGTACATGAAACGATGTCTCTCGAGGAATCTGTGCAGCGGCTTTCCTGAGGCAGCGGGCCGGGGCTGCGGCACCATCCTGGGAAACTAACTGTGTCAGCCGGGGTCCGGTGACGACTCCCCTGGGGGCAGCTGCCGCCAACATCCCCCTCGTCTGCACCTAAGAAGTGGCTTATCTGAGGCAGCGGGCCGGGACGTCGGCACCATCCTAAAAACCGAGCTGTGTCAGCAGGGGCCTT